ACGTCTATCGGTTGAGAGTACTGAAGGATAACCGGAAGTTGCTACCCAACACACCCATAAAACCTGCGCCAATGCTTCGCCGAATGAGGAAGAAAACGTTGTAGATTCCAGTCACTGAGTGAAATGGTTTATACAGGCGAGAATATAAATACACCCTTTCGATGATAACAGGGGTTCCAGTAGGTCTACATGTACGTACAGGAACCGTTTATCTACCACAGGGAGCGAACCTAGTGGGCTTCTGGTATCTCCGGTTACCATTTTATGTTTTCAGAACAAATAGTGGCGTGCCCATTGGTGAATGTCCTTCTTAATATTACGTCAGACGAAAAGATCAGTTATGAGTTTCACTGAAGCTCCAATCCCTGGGAGTGATAAGTTATGTGGCATCTCGAAAACCTCTTTGCTTAAGGTTAATAGGACTGCCGGCCTAGAGTGGCTTAAGGAGATATTGCAATAGACTTAGTTGTATGAGGACAAAAGCGGTAAATGTTCGATGCGGAGCGTTGACAGGTTGCGCAATTGCCCTATGTCGGTGTCGCCGGTTTACGCAGTGACTATGTTCTGTAAGCCCTATAAGCAAACCTGCGTTGACCAAAGAAGTGGCCTTAGTGCGGTAAAGCAATAACATGCAAAAGAGAAAGATTGAATGCAGAAGGACCTTTAGTCGGTGTCATTACAAGATGAGTAAGCGCACTTACTGCCTCCATGGAGAAATGGGAAACCAGCGTACAGTGACCATCAAAGTGAAATTGGTCTGCCAAAATAAGCTGGTCCAAGTTATAAAGTAATACCGAGTAACAGGTGTAAAACGTTGTGGTTTAATAAAGTTGAACTTGCAACCAGGGTAAAAGTGAAAAAATAGCATATGCCAAATTCACCAACTGGGAGCACAGCAGTAGCATTTTAGACCCTCAATGAAGGCCACTGACTTACGAAAATTGACAAATGCACAATAGTTGATTAATAACTTTTCATCTGTGGGCAAGTTAATTGTAAATTCTTTAACAAGATATCGTTTTATTTTACTACATATGTTCTAACAACATATATCGTTGGGAAGTTTGTTAGGCGAATTCCAATATAGTTCTCATTCTTCCCCATCATCCCACTGAAGTCTTGAATGAGTATATATAAATGCAACACTAAATAATCATGGATGAACGAAAAAATAAAGGTACAAAAGCAGGGAAAACAAAACAGTCAAATTCGCAGAGTAACAATTTTTTGTTTGTTTACTGCACGCCATTTTACGTTTTGTCGCTTTTTTAATTTTTGGGATTGCAGACACGAGAGGATGCATTCACGCCACTGACTTCAGTTTGGTATCATATCCTGCAGGGTGTCCAGCCAAAGACAATCTGAATCTTTGGGGTCCCAGCCAGGAAGCCGACAAACCTTAATGGAAGCCAGATCCGAGCACAACCTCTTTAACCCTCTGCGCCACGTCATAACCTGCCTAACTCGCTGTTTCTTCCAACCTGAATCGATGTCTGCGAATAGTGCACGGTGTGGAAAACGGTGATCAGGCATTCGTAGGACTTGCTTTAACCACCTAAGACGATGCTGTGAAATTATTTTGCTCAAAGACAGAATATCTGGTCCTAGAACCCGTCGTCTGACTTCATCGTCATTTACGCGATGCGGGCGATGTTGCGCAGACAACGGTTATCGAAGACTGATAGTCGCTGAACGTGATTTGCTCGGAGAAGCCAGATCGCTCAGCCATAGAGCAACACGGTGCATGCCGTTGTGCAATACACACGCCCTTTCAATGAAAGGCATATGTCGCGTCGACGCCAGGGATACCGGAGATTAGTGAACGCTAATCTAGCTTTGATCACGCGTTGAGAGATCCCCTCACCCACACCTCCACTAGCCTTTATGCAACTCCTAAGGTAGAAGAAGCTTTCGAGTACTTCCAGAGTGTCATTACCCAACGAAAGTGCAGGACTGGGTTCCTGCCAATCTTACAACAACACTTTGCACTTTCAAAGGTGCAGATGATAAACCATAGCGAGTAACCTCAATTGCCGAACGGTTCAATGACTCTTGAATTGTTGGTGCGTTATCACCCAGTAAGGCAATATCATCATCTAAGCCTACGACTCTGTCCCCAGGAAGAAGCTCGATGCCAGCGTTCGTTACGTTATGTAACGCGTTTTGTAGGACATCGCCTATGGCAAAGTTTAATAGAAACGGAAAGATAGGGCAACTCTGTCGCACCCCACTAGTGACAGGAAATAAGGGTGAAAACTCACAATAGACCCTAACCTTCCCCAACTAAAATAGTTATTGTTTGCTGCACTTAATCCTTTTTCGTCCTAACAATAGTCTACACAGACACAATAATAATAGGCGAACAGCAACGGAACATTTGAAATGAGATGAAAAAGCTAGGGATTAAAAAGAACAAAGAGGAATTGATGAGGGAAATAATTAGAAAAGAAGAGATTTGAGTTCCATTTTCATAATCCGGAACATTCACATTTATCTCGTAATTCAAGAGCATATTCTCTATCATTCGATTTGAGTTTCACGTCTTCTGATGTGATCACTTCACGTGGCTCCCAGGAATTTCACGTCCATTTTGTATGGTGTTTTCGAAAATAAGGTCTCGAATTCCACTTTTCTCGCTGTAAACCCTGAAAACTCAAGCCAAAATTGAATCAATAAATCCGTACGACAATCTTGACCAATTCACGAGAAGGTATACTGTGATGCCGCCACTAACTAAAATACATGAATTAATCACATACCTTTTGCAGGCAAGATGACATAATCCTACCATTAGTCTCGTTACAAAGCAAATTTGTCAGAAAAGTTATTTTTTTATTACACACTTAGGTGTGATGAACAGCAGACGGGGTAAACTCCATAGTCACGAGGACCTGCTGTTCAGTGGTTGAAATCGGCAACCTAAGCCCCGGAACTTGGAGTGGAGAACCACATTAGGCCTCGATAGGCTAGGCGTGGTATTAAACCGGACGACAGCAGAGATGCGTACCACCTAAGTCGGGTTCCGATGGCGGAGCTCGAACCTCGGACCATAGGATCCAAAGTACGCCGGTGACCGCGTCTAAACCACCTAGTTACCACCACCCTTGTGTGGGTTGTATTATCCCGTGTCTTGTGAGGCCCCCTTTAGGTTCTACGCGTACGCACTCCCTTGCGGACTTCTGTATAGAACGCAGTTTTCTCATAGTAGGTTTTTAACTCTCCGGATCATTTTAATTGACCCTTTAATAGTGTCTGAATGTTGTTTATCTTCTTGATGGACTCAATTGCTGAAAGTAGATAACAGTGAATTTGTAATTTACCTTTTCAATTAATCAGACTTAGTATAGCAAAACGTTGAAATCGGTGAATCGCACCTATGAATCAGGATTGACCGAAATGCACTGATTTTAAAGAAAAATTTTGTCAAACGAAATACTTCCCTGAAGTTGACTCTGTCCCAAGTATTAAGTTCTGCTTTCTTGTCTGTAAACGAAATAAAAGTAAACATATCGTCATTAATACTGTGAATAGTTGATACTTGCATATTTTGGCACAGTTGACTGATTCCAGCAAACTAACATTCTGGATGTCGATCATCGCGTATTTTAGATTACCCGGGAAAAGTGACACTTGCCATCATTAACCGACAGTGGCGGACATCAGGCTCTTGCCGGTCTTGAACAACCATTTTTCGCTTGTATGGTGAAAAGTGCATAAAATACCCGAATTCCCCGATCGTCAAGCGGCTAAAAGTATGTGGGATGACCTGCGTGTTTTCACCAATAAATTTGATGTTATCCATATATTTTAAATCTAGAATGCTTTTTCTGGGAGGATTTTAACTCAACCATTTGCTAAATCAGACAAAACTCTCTTTAGAGCATCCTGCATCCACCCGTTGTGGTGATCAACCAGAAGAATGTAAGAGCTTAGAGTACTTTAGGATCTCGATCGCGGCTGGGAGTGGCGTGGAGGAAGAAAGCACATCAAAAATAGCAAAATCTGTGGCAGCTCTTGTAAACCTGCAACGAATGTGGTTCAACTGGGACATCGAATTACCCCTTAAGAGAGCTGTGTGCGCCACCGCGTTTCGTAGTGTTCTGCTTCACGGTTGTGAAATCTGACTCCACCGTGATGAGGATGCTAATCGACTTTCTGCATCTGACCATCAATGCTTTTGAAGCACTGCTCAGATCTGGTGAGCAATGACGTGGTTCGACATCGTGTTTTGGATGTCGATAGTTGTTTTCTAACATGAGTAATCACTCTACACCATCTTAAATGGCTCAATTATGTTTTGTGTATGCCTGCCAATTGTCTATCCTTCGATGATTTCTTTACACTTGCTGGAAAACACGGAAGAAAAGTCGCGGCTGTCAGACCATAATATGGTGTAAGGTTGTAAATAATAGAACCTTGGCATTAGTCTCGATTGATGTAGCCTGTTTTTTAATTTGGGGCCCAAGGATTGAGCACTGTCGTTACAGACGCTGGAAGATATAAACAAAAATAGAAGTGCATAGGGCGAATACTGTATGTTCCTCCTGTCGAAATTCCGTGCCTCATAAAAAGCTTCAACTAACAGGAATATCAAAGGTGTACTCGGTTTGTTATAGCATAACACCAAAGTTGAACAAACACTTCCTTTCCTACTGGTACTTAACTTCACCGATCTAAATTTACCACAGTTGGTCATTCCTTTTCGCAAATTTGCAAATCGCTCTTCTGCATTTCAGACAGCTACTGCACTACGCTGTATTTATAATCTGTCTTTCCATTTTTATGCTAAAAGCCATTGACTTTTATAAGCAACGGACACTATTCATTCCCGTTTTATTTTGTACACTTGATATGGTCAATTCACTCCCAATTTGTCTTGGTAGCATACAAAATAACCAAGTGTTTTTGATGATTTCAGAAAAACCAATGCACGCATTTTTACAGTCCGTTGGTTGGGCATATCCCATTGCTCCCAAATTGACAACAATCGGACAGAGTGGATGCGATATCATTGTCAACGTAAGCGTGTGTTCCGTGCAGTTTTCTCATCTGACCAGAGCACAAGTCTGGATCAACAACATGCTGTAATCGAGCGAAGTAGCCTGGATGGGAGTGTATACATCCGGGATCTTTGTACAAAAAATGTGAGCATATAAGCACGAGTATTATTCATTGTTTCCCTAAAATAGGGGACATTTGTAAATAATTTGCCAATTCGCAATACCACTGTGAAACTGAAAAGTGGTGATCAGCTACGATTTGGATGTGAACCGACCGTCTATGAATTCCAACTGACACACGAGGTACTGTTCAAATTATTCCTTGCCTACATCACTGAACTTTTCAGACCGACCCAAGCACATTAACTAAGAAAACACAATCAAGTAAGTGGTTCTTTGACGGAACTGGATATTGTTAAATCACCTTAATGATCTAGTAGTTACCACGCTTCCACATTGGACCAGTGTAAATGTGAATCCTGCTGACATACCTGGCAAACGGAAGNTTGAAGAAATTCCACAGTTGGTGATAACAACCCCAGGAAGTCCGACAGAACATGTGACTGTCCAACCGTCAAATAGCCCTCATTCAACGGAGCGTGTTGTTAAAGAGCCTTTGCATTTCGCGGTGAATTCACCTCCAGGTAAAAACTACTTTTTTGTAGAATAACCAAACAGATTTGCATTGATTGGATAATATAAGATATTGCAGTGTGAAAACTATCTAATGGAAAAGGCAGGCAATTTTCTTTGATATTCAAATAGTATTCTGAAATTCTATTTTAGTCGTGGCATTTCTAAAATATCTTTCATTGGAATGCGATTTTAACTAAAATCCTTAACATTTTTTGATAGCAGCTTGTGATTCCAAGCTAAAACCTTTGAGGTTACTATTGTAAATGCATAATGTATGACAATTATGAAAGCATTATCTGCAGGAGTTCATAAAACCAGATTGCTTACTGAATATATCACGGTAAAGAATCCTTAAGTGATAAAAATATCAGGAGGAGAACGCATACACTGGATAGGAAGGAAAGTGAAGAACTGTGCTCTCAACACTGTGTGGTATTTCGATTGTGTGCGGGACTCAGCTTTTTAAGATCGCTTTTTTAAAGTTTGGTAAGAGAATAAAAGTTTGGCCACTTGTTGCGCTGTATTTGGTTACCAGTCATAATCTTCAAGGTTTCTAGGCCAATGAGTTCGGAATGATATGCGCACTAACTGGGGCATAGGAATGAGCTTACACTCAGCGGACTCTCGCTCTGTCAGTATCGTTGCAAGTGCTACATGATTAGGGTACATCACAGTAGGAAATAAACTTGGCCATATGTGATTAATTTTCAGAGAATTTGAAAAGTAAGATCTCTCAGATCATTTTGGATAATCTTTAAAGTGGAGTTTAACCGTATTTCTGACATACCATAGTTGTATCTTTTGTTGTCGACAGTTTCGCATCGTCAAGCAGAAAACTTTGGATTTCAGAAAAGACGCTGTAAGTGAATACATCCAAAGCATTTGATATAGTGAAAACGTTAACAAAAAAGGATGGAATGCACTACACAGTTGTGTTTTCTATGTTAAAAGTAAACAACGGTAAACCCTTTGTGATAAGGTATATCCCAAACATGCGAACCTGTGGGTGAGTTGTGTATTCTGTCACAGCAACATTTGGTTTTCACCGAGATAGTGAAGCGGTATTGGTAATGAATAATCTATTGAAATCGGCTTTTTAGACTAACTTTGAGTTTTTGAACAAAAGCTTGTAAATCCGAGTTTGCTCGCGCTCGGTTTGCTATTAAAATGTGTCCAAATAAAGCCAATGAGAATATAACAGCTCAACAAGTTTCATACAAAGAACAATTCTTATTACTCCACTTTTCTTTCAACTCTTTTATCTTGGGAAAATTGCAAATTGTATCACCGCCGGAAAAATCGATCACAGGTGAAGTTTTGAACAGTCAGATGTCTAAGGGAGGAACGATGAAAACAGCCACAATCACCCCCACTGCCGCCACAACAACAACAACAAATCGACCAGCACGCTGTGAGAATAAGGTAAATTTAGATGCATTGGTCTATGTTGATTTCAGTAGGCGATAAAAAACACGCATAAAACACCGTTCATTCTGTTAATCGCACAATTCTGTCTAGTTCGTATTCCATTATACCTATGTTTGTAGCGCATCTTAAGATTGTGCCATTATTTGACTTGCACGCCATCTAAAACTACATTACTGTGAAGTATATAGTCTATCCCTGCAAGCAGTTAAGAAGGTTAGATATACAATTAAGAGAAGTTAATCGACTTGCACTGTAGAAGTTAAACTTAAGACAAGAAAATGGAACCTCGGGAGATACTATGCAAACGATATCCATAGACAAAACAGGTTTGTTCCGTACCGCGTACCAGATGGTCTTCACTAGCATCAATAATCCGTCTCTCCCATTCTCGATTTTTATTGCAGTACCAAGCGTTTTCTGTTAAAACGTCTAACTACGAGATGCAAGAGACTGGATGGGAGTATATTCTTTTCGCTGATAAACACAGCAAGTAGATTCTCTATTAAGTTAACATCGGGTCTGCTAGGCAACAATTGCACAAATTATCCCTTGAGTTTCTCCTTGGTCTCGTGGGGCTTATCAGCTAATAAATATCATATATCTGCTCTTTCCCTCAACTTATAGTGAGTCCCACAGTAAATATTAAATGGTGCATTATTCTACAGAATAATCAATTTTCCAGAACCATTTTGTTATGAAAATCGTTTTGTTCATGAAATTCAGAAAATTCTTACTATTAAACGGGTTGAGAAAACGAGTCGGTGAGCGAACAATTGTTTTCGGATATTCCTAGTCATACTCTTACATATCATATAGAGGAAAAGTTGCGGAATTCGAACGGAACATCCTACAACGGCAGCATTTTGTGGACGATTTACCGGAGAATGAACGATTGAAATTCGACAAATTCGTAAGTCAAATCTGTAGGTGTCGAGTCCAAATCATTCGAGAACATTTATTACGGGATTCACATAAGCTTGCACAGATGTCCACTTTTCCCAATAAACCAGAGAGATTCGTGCATAATTTGTCGGATAGGCAACTATCTTCTATAGAAATGGAGGCCTTATCGCTGGGATGGACGTTTTGTTGCCCTCCGAAGACAGTTAACCGAATCGATTTGGAGGTGCGATTCAAAAGCCTGATGGGTCAAACAACAGATTAGATACCTAATTCAGACGAGGATTTGGAAAGGTTTAACAGTTTGCTGGTGACAAGCTGCTATAAGTACCGAAAGATTCAAATACACAACCGCGGACCGCTTACACGTTAGCATATAAACGCTTTGAGGGAACTCAGAAATGACAAATACATCATGCTGTTCAAACCAGATAAAAGCACCGGAGTGGTTGTTATGAACAAAAATAATTATGTTCAAAAGCTTTCTGAAATAATTTCGGATGAAAAAGTTCTCTAGTTGCAACAAATCAAAGGATGAAACAGAAAAGGTGGAGGGTGAAATCACAGATCTACTGAAGGCGTTAAAGTTACAGGGGCACTTAGACAATGCTGCATAAGAGAAACTGAAACCATGTGGGTCCACCATCCCGCTACTGTATGGTCTCCTGAAGATCCACAAAGAAGGATTTTCAATAAGACCTAATATGGCAATAGTAAATTCGCCATATCACGCAACGGCGTGGTGGATGGTCGAATTATGAGAACCCATTCGTCGTAGACTCGCCACACAGTCTCCGAGACAGTTTCCAGTTTGTAGGCATAATAGAAGACTGGATCTGCAAGAAAAGGCGATATTTTCCTTGGATGTGGTCTCATTGTTCAATAATGTACTCCTACTAGAGACAGTGGAATTCATCTGTGATCATATAAAAGCACTGAATGTAGACGTTGGTATTCCGGCCACCAATCTAAAGGAACTGCTATTACGCTGCACACGTAACATCCGGTTTCTATTTAACGATACTACCTATCGTCAGATGGACGGGGTTGCTATGGGATGGACACTTGGTCCGTTGCCAGCTAACATCTTCGTGGCCAAACTGGAAAGGAGCACGCTGAGCCGAACTATTGAAGGAGTAGCACACTGCGATCGATATATGGATGATGTCTCCTGTATGACCGATCGCAAACATGGCATCCAACAGATATTGACATTGTTTAGCGAAGCACATCCATCACTGGAATTTACTGTAGAGGCTGCAACGAACAACATATTAGCCTTTTTGGATGTAGCCGTGCCCAGGAAAGAAGATGGATCAGTAAGAGGACAGATCCACGGAAAGAAAAAATGGAATGGTCAATATACTAAGTTCCATAGTTTCGTTCCAGTGAAATATAAACGTAATCTAGTCCGGTGTCTAGTCTTCAGAGCCCGGAAGACTTGTTCAGCAGACATACTGGATGAAAAACTACGCTTCATCCGCCAAACGCAGGACAATGGTTATCCGGAAAAGTTCATCGATAAGAACATGCGGCTCACTCCTGAGCGGGAAAACTCCATCTGTGTCCCCCAAAAAGAACTATTCATAAGGATCCCATTTAGGGGGGACACACAGAGAGAGCCTAGTACAACCACTGAAAGCGGCCCCACAGCCAAACTTAGACTAGTGTTCTCTACATCGCCGGTGATGCGAATGCAGGTGAAAGACAAACTGTCGAAACTGATCTCATCCATGATAATTTACTCTTTTAATTGCGTCTGTGGCGCATGCTACATAGGTCGTACGGTAAGGCGTTTGTCTCAACGTGTTAAGGAGCACCATCCACGATGGCCAAGTCAGGGAAAAACCGGCTGTATCTCAAGCGCGATTGTGGGGTATCTCGCCGACACCGGCCACAAGATCGAACCGGAGAAAGCTTTCGATGTGAGTTATCGCATCTCATTCAATCGCTCGAGGGCGGCCCGAGTTTGAATACTATCTATGGCCGAGGCGATCGCCATTCGCTTACTAGGCCTCGACCATTTCCCCAAAAGCGATTGATGCAGGCGCTCCACTTGCCTTGGCCGTGTGTGAAATCGAAGACGGAACATGACGTGTCACTAGCACGTTAAACTTTCCTGCACACACACATACACATACACACTCCCAATACTCTCTACCTCCGAATATTGACCTTAAAATGAGCCCATGACTATGATTATGTAAGAATTTTTTCCACCATATGATATGTAAGAGCATGACTAGGAATATCCGAAAACAATTGTTCGTTCACCGACTAGTTTTCTCAATGCTATCATGGGAATATTCAAGTATTTAACGGGTCTTGATTAGATTTCTTTCGAGATAGCTTAGATAAAATTCACCAAATTGGTGAATCTCACTCTCAATCAGATTACCGTGTCCAATTCCATCGATGGAGCACTAACAAAGGGACCAATAACAGTTATAAGTATAGACAAAGCTATAAAGAGCATTGTTTGCAAACGAATAACGTTAGTAACAAACTGCAGAGATTGCGTTTGGTTACCTCGAGGCCAACTTCAATGACATGAGTTGGTTATATTTTTTTCTCAATCAATACCAATCTTTCTTGGTTTCTGGTGAAGTAGCCTTCATTTTCTGCCCATTGAGGTCTGTTCCGAACCATTGCCCCGAAGACCCAATATAGTGCATTTGTTTACTTTTATTAGACGAATGAATTTTCCACCTTGAAAGGTCCAAAGGAGAGTATATACATGTGGTCGAAGTTTATTCAATATAAACTCATTACTATTATTATAATTAGAAAGTGCGGGATTCAAGATAATATTGAGTTGACAGCCTTCCACTAGTACATGAAATACAAAACATTCAATACATAACAGATGGAGAAAAACAAGGAATTAAGAGGACTTAGGTGAATGCATATTTGTCTTGGTGTGAAGTTCCTCATTTATCTTCCACTGATTGAAATATCTATGCCTGGATGCACATCAGTTTTAATTCACTAACTTACCACTATGTAAAGGTTACCAGTAATAAAATAATGCAAGTGTGTTTAGTGCTAGAAGTATTCTGTTATTTAATGACAACTGCAGATTGAGCATTAGTGGAGAGTGTGATACAAGCAATTTTAGGTACAAGTCTGTCGAACTTTTGTGAGGAAAAATTGTTTTGAATAGCCTCCTACCCTTAAATCGCACGACCCGTGTCTTATAGGATCAATTGATCGAACGACTTCAAGTTGAGATCGCACGTCTCTCTCCATTGGCGGCTGTGAATGCTCAAAAGGATATAATCATTCAACATATGCAACAACAACTGGCCCAACTCAGCGCCCACAAACTGTGTCCGAATTCGATCGAACGAAATTTCGAGAACCAAAATGCTGGAATGACAGGTTCAGGACGTTGTAATGATGAATACGATTTGGGAGAGCCCATACGGTGCAATGTGGATTCTTCCAGTCGTACACGACCTGTATCGGCCAGTTCATTGCTTTTTCCAAAGCCAGTAACTGATGGATCAGATGAGGTCAGAAACCGAGTAGAGGACAAGGATAAAGACGGAATAGTAAATGCGGCCCTGTTCGAAAGGATCCGCAAAGAGCGTCAGATTCTCAGTGGATTAGTTACCCAATTGCAACGAGATTTGGCGAACAAAGACACCAATCTGGGTCGCTTAACACAGGAAATGAACTCCTTGAAAAGACAGTTAAATGAGAAAGATATTGCTTTGAATGTTTCGCATAAAAAGGTGAGGCGATCGTATTGAATTAAAAGCAAATTCGAGTATAAGTTGTCTCAGTATTTTACAACAAATACAATCATTGTTTCGAAGTCTGTTGACAAGTTTGCTTCCTGATGGAAATGTACTGAAAAGTCAAGATAATTGTGTTCCCGAAGTTACAAAAGGTACCAGGCCGGTTTTAACTTTTTGTTAAGGTGAAGATTCTATAAATTTGTTCTTGATTGTAGTTCACGCAAATTCACAGACACAGGATTTGTGCACTGCAGCCTCACTGTGAGTTTGAGTCCTCGAAAGTTCATACATGTTCCACATTTCGGTTTCCTGGTAGCCAATACATCGTGTGAAGGCCAACAAAAATCGAAAATTGCAAAATCGCAAGAGATGAAATCGAGAACACACTTAATTCAAATAACTATACAACAAAGTTTTGGTTATCTACCTTGTAACGTAGGATCAAGGGTTTCGGCTTTCAGCCCGAGTGTTCGCTGTTCCAATCCTGGTAGGGCCATGAAAATAGTACACACTGCAAGAAGAACGATAAAGCTATTCAGTGCTTTTGCTGTCTTCAATGCACAGTTAGAACAACCAGAAACTCTTTGTTCCAGATTTTCACTTTGGAGATTACTCTAAAGTAACAATAGCATCAGTATAGACATGCCCTTTAGTTACACACCGGGAAATTTATCCCTAACCTCAAAGAACCCTAGTGGTGCATAGTCAACCAGCCTAACGAAAACAGATGTGAAGTATTGCTTTGTGATCGTTTGTTAATTAATTTGAAGTGGTATTTTTATTCCACAAAATATAATTTAGGAGCGAAAGCGTTGTGAAACTGACAATAAACTACTGTTCAGTGAGAGTAACCGGCGAGGTAAACCTTTGAACTTTTAGTTACGGATTGCATGGGAGCTCTACACTGNACCAAAATTGTGTAGCTGCCATGGTGAGGGGGGGGGTTGAAAAAATACATGCAGAAACATTGCACATCAATGGCAATCAACTAAACCATTTGGTGATTATTTACGTCACTGTTCGGTAGGCAAGCGAACCTACTTTTGTGCTTCTAGGGTAAAGTTTTTATGTCATTCACACATGTAAATCACCCAACATAGAACCATAGTATTGATTTAAAAATGAACTGATCCTGAAAGGCCTATTCCATTGAGTATTCCCCGAGTTACAAATGAGTTATTTCTCTCTCTGTCATATATATACTGCTAACCGTAAAATATTCAGTAAAGACCTTTAAGCCCCGTTTGTTGCGGTTAGTAGCATTCAACCCACCTGCAAATCATCAAATCATAGTGTTGAGTCTCCAATGGACTGGTTCTGAAAGAGCTATCTAACAAAATTTAGCCCACGTTGCAAATGATGTAAGTGTGACAAAAATATCTTTCTTGGGTACCATTTTATGAGTGAAAAGACAAAATAAAACCGGATAGGCATGCCTGACCAGCGGCAAGAACCGCATATCCGGTCGTGTGCCTTCATTGAAATTTTGTTCAAGGATTTATATACTACTAATTACAATTAGTAGTACATCATTGTGACTTCAAAGCCTCACTGATTATGTTACCTAGCTTGGCCACGAAACGTCTGCGAAGAGAACAAACCAACACCAACATTCTCATCTAGTGCAAATCGTTTAAAGATATGAAACTGACAGAATAAAAGAGCACATTAAACGGGTTGGCATTTGTGATTGGTTTGTCATTTTCTCCTTTTTACTCTGATATTTTGCAGCTCCTCAAAGCACAGGATACCACAGCTTTTCAAAAGGAAAGAGAAGAGTTGGAGAAAGAAATAGGAACTATTCGACAGGTAACTCAAATTTCCATGACAAATCAATATCATTTCGATTATTATCTCTCCTGGTTTACAGTTATTTCTGTAAGATATGCGTACCCATCAAATCTGTTCCGCATATTAGGTTTCGCTCCTGTTCTTTTTCGGTTTTCCAGACGAGAAGCAGTCATAATATGAATATTGGAAAATACGTTTCCACTTGACCTTCTATTCTTTTCTATCTAACAGCTAAGAAACGTCTCCAGATATTGTAAAAAAACGATTGAGTAAGCATCACAAGTGGTGCATAAGTTCGAGAACGAAGGATAATTGCTTTGGTTAACGGATTGATCATACCGCCTAGATGTGCTACCCCCACTCACTATCGGACAGCAGTAATTTAGCTTAGTATATACAGTAGCAGTTTGGCAAAGGCTGTTGTATGCTAAACAGACATGAAGGTTATGTGCAAATATAAATGTATAACAATGGTACTTTCTTTCGGCCGTTCCTCACGAGAATTTAACTCGGAATTGTGATCACATCGAACCATCGGGGACAGTAATGTGAAGCTAGGTTCTGAGACAAGACTGACCACATTTTATGGCTAATAAAGTCTCGTGGAAGTCTGATGCGAGTGACATCTCCAACGTCACTGGAATATTTAGTCCAGGGTGCACGTAAAGCTTTTGCATAATCAGGTGGGACCTATGAGGATGTAAAGCATTTTTGCACTGATTCCTATATTTTGATCAAGCGCATGATCTTATCCACTCACTCAACCGGATCTATTTCTTGTGTGCGGATAAAGCTGCAACCCACCAGCTCCGACGAAGCTTTCAGTTGGCTGCTAAGTGATTACTTACTGGAATGAGGCGGATACCACATGCATAGCTGGGTGACCGATGTGGACAAATGAAACTGAAACTATTTTGTAATAACATGTCAGTGTCGTGAACCCATAGGTCTTGTCGTTGAACAACAACAAACCTGTGAACCCGCATCATCTGTATCCGAGCATACCGTTCCTCCACAGCTCTACACCAGACGTTTTATGATAACGCGGCACGAGAAATCGAAGTAGAACAAGGAGAATTAAGCAATTGTGGTTTGGGTTTACGGTAATTCTCAACCGTAGTAATGGTTGTAGCTCGTGATACTCATATCACCGTCCCGCCGCCTTGCGAGTCAGGCTTTGGTTAGTCGAAGGATTCGGTTTACCTGATTCGGCTCGGGCAGCCTAGTAGCTCTAGCAAATCATGAACCTTTTTATCTTTTTATAAAGGTTATTGTACCAGGAGTTGTTTAGCACACAATCTGAACTTAGACGTTTGTGGAAATAAATGGAAAAAATATAGCACTTCAAATCTGATATAATCTCCCCCTCTCGCAATATCAGACCCATATAATCAAAAAACACAAAAACCATGAAAAATAAGGCAAATCGAACAATTTTTTTAAACACGCTATAAGCAAAATGAAAATCAGTGTTATGTGTGATTTTCTCCGTTTTTGTTTAGACAGATTTGGAAGATTTTTCGAGATTAAGTCCACCAGATTATTTGTAAGCCACTTTTGCTTGATCTCATTCCAATCATTTTTGGTACACAGCCGACCATACCGCCTTACTTTGTCTTGCTTTGATAATATCGTCCTCAGAAGTACAAATGCATTAATGATCTCTACTGAGTTCGGGTTTTTTCGGGGTTATTTGAATAACTGTAATCTTTTCCGGGTGTTCAGATCAATCCCTTTAGAAC